TGTCTGTCAGTTGAGATTAACCGAGTGCAAAGGCTGTCTCCCAGCCTGTGGCAAATGAAAAGTGAAATGTGTTCATTGAAACCACTGAGGAGGTTTATTTGATTAGTATGACACCTGTGGAGAAGCTGCTTATTTCTAAGATGTGACTCAAGAAAGTATTTTTTCTTTTTACAGATTCTGCCTCTATTTGTTTTCCAGGCCTTCAATGCTATGGCTAATGCAGAAAGCCTTAAAAGTAAAATTCCTTGTACATTATGGGGCATAAGAGAGGTATAGCATAACTTACTTTTTAAAGACAGTATCCTCTCTTTACCTGCTGAAAAGTGAAAGATTAGACTACTGAGGTGAGCAATACTAAAAATCCCTCAGGAAGTTGGTGAACAGCAGTGTGACTTTCTTGGCTTTGCTGGGATGTATGTCCTTCCTGCTGCTTGTTGAAGACAAGGTGGTGCAAAGGGAGAGAGCATCTTGTGCCTCACTGGGTGGCAAACCATCAGCTTTTCTTTTTCCTTCTGCCTTATGAAGCCAAGAGTGATGTATCATGGCAGAACCTCTCTCCTAGTGCATGGCAGTGGAAATGGATGTTTTTTTTCTCACCAGCAGCAGGCCCCAACAGTTAGCTTTACTTAACCCTGGCTGCAGCGAGAGTCGCCTGCACTGACAGATACTCATTAGGATTGACCCCTAGAAATGAAAGCGTAGGAAACAATTCAGCATAAAATATAGCAGCTTCTTGACATCCTTTCTTACTGTCTTCTAAAAGAAAAAGTAATTTAAGAGAAAGAGTTTGAATGTCCTGGTGGCAGCCATGCTGAATCATGATAAAGTGTACATAAAGTGTATCAAGGTTACATGAATATCTACCAGATAAGAGTAAAGGCTGGCTTGAACCATTCTCATATAAACTGTTCATCCATGGGGCAATAACTTACCAAGGTATCAGCTGCTGACTGTTGGAGCAGTCAGCATTCAGAGCAGAAGATATGCTCACCATAGTTGTGAGCTGCATGTGAAAGCCGTTCTGTGGAAATGGTATGTGTGAGTCAGCTTTTGCTCTGTAGGAAATAAGGATAAGTACTTCTGAGGTCTGTGTGGAAGAATTTTTTTCAAGAAAAGCACATTGACAGTAAATTTGAGAAGGAGGTTTTAAAAACAGACAAACAACAACAACAAACAAAAAACCAAAAAAAATAAACTAAGGGAAGTTACAGTTGGGAGCTACCTAAATGACAATGTTGAAAATTTCAGTTTAATCACATTTACATGATGAGGTTTTATTTGCTACTAGCTGTATAGCTTTGCTTACATCTTCTAGCTTAGGAAGTTGTTTTTTTGTTTTTTTTTTTTAATGTGCACAGAATTATTTGGTGGGAAAATTGAATGTAAAGCCAGCTAGACAGACAATGAGTCTGGTTTATGTCTTTCTTCATCACACTGGAAGAAAAGCCTGAAGTTTTTAAACCCAAGCCTCATGCTGTTAATTAATGATCTTGTGCAGATGAGGACAAAGAAAGATTTAAAGTGTCTTAACATGTCTTTTGCTTTCTTAGTTTCTGTGGCTTTCCAAAAATGCCTCTTGCTCCCTCTTGTAGAAGAGTATTGCTTCAATGTCTCTTTTCATTCAATGTTCTGCTTATAAATTAAGTTATTCATATAATTTATTCCTACAATGATCATGGTTCTCTTGTTCTTTGCAAGGCTATTTGCATGCAATCTGATCAGGAGAGTGCTTTACAATTACTGACACTGGTAAGAGAATTGGATTGTCACAGACCATCTCAGGTCTCTGTCTTTCATCCTGAGAATGAGATGCTTCTGTGTGCTTTAAGTGCAGAGTTACATAGGTTGATGTCATGGTTTAACCCCAGCTGGCAACTAAGCACCACACAGCTGCTTGCTCACTGCCCCGTGGTGGGATGGGGAAGAGAATTGGAGGGGTAAAAGTGAAAAAACTCGTGAGTTGAGATAAAGACAGTTTAATAGGTAAAGCAAAAGATGCACACATGTAAACAAAGCAAACCCAGGAATTCATTCACCACTTCTCATCAGCAGGCAGGTGTTCAGCCATCTCCAGGAAAGCAGGGCTCCATCACACATAATGGTTACTTGGGAAGACAAACGCCATCACTCCTAATGTCTCCCCGTTCCTTATTCTTCTGACACTTTATATGCTGAGCATGATGTCATATGGTATAGACTATCCCTTTGGTCAGTTGGGATCAGCTGTCCCAGCTGTGTCCCCTCCCAACGTCGTGTGCAACCCCATCCTCCTCGCTGGTGGGGTGGGGTGAGAAGCAGAAAAGGCCTTGACTCTGTGTAAGCACTGCTCAGCAGTAAGGAAAACATCTCAGCATTATCAACCCTGTTTTCAGCACAAATCCAAAACAGCCCCATACTAGCTACTATGAAGAAAATTAACTCCATCCCAGCCAAAACCAAACCAGTTGATACTCTCATACAGAATACAGTTCTTTGCTTTCTCAGCTGCTTTAAGTGAAGGGTTAAATAAGTTCTTCTCATATTCATCTTACAATAATTTTTTGCTTTCTCAAGATCATTGAGACCCCGCTGGCAACTATGTTAGTAGCATCTACTTCTCAAAACACTGTGTGAGAATCAAGCTGTAAAAATCATGATTGTTAAGTAGTTAACATAAAACAAAGCTAAGACTGACTGGCAAATTATAATAACTAGCCAGCTGCTTATCCCTATAACTGGAAAATTCTTTGCTGAGTTTACCTTACTATAATATGAAAAAGAATTGTTTAAACTGCCATCAATCTTTAAATCCTGCATCCAGAAAGTGGCCATGTTGACAATGAGAAATAGGAGTAAAAGCAAATTGCTGTGCAAGAGCTAAAAATATTCTTCACTTTGTGCATCTTTTTAGTGAATTTTAACAGGAGAAAACTTCAAGGCTATTTTCTGGTAGGCCTCGTTAACCCAGATGCAAATCTCTGTGTTCCTCAAGTTACACTGTCCAAGCTTTGTTAGGTGCATCTGCTACCAAATTGACACTTCATTTAGTGACACGTCTGCAGTAGTTTTACACTCTGACCATTGCTGTGTAAAATTAATCCTCTTTGATAATCTTAATTTAAATAATAATATGTATGGTTTGCAGAAGCAGAGAATGCCTTTTAGAAGAATATTAAAGTTCACCCCCTGCAGGGCGAACCTTCCCATTGCAACATAGGAAAAAGGACATTTGTCCATATAAAAGTTCATATGTAGAGAAGCATCAGATTTTTGGCATTTCTTGTAGCTGATTGAGTTTTCAAATTAACTTGATTTGATTTTTTAAAGGGCTATGCTGTATCTTATGATGAAAAGAAACAGGCATACTGAATGGCTACGTATTGTGCTGTACAGTGGGACTCTCAAGAGTGCCCAAGTGCCCAAACCATGTGATGTGCAGAATCTGACTGGGAGGCCTGCCCTTCATTCTTCTTACCCAGGGTTGAAGAAGATAGAGGAAATTTTATGTGAAATTTGCTATCCAATGGGTATTTTATTGTGCACAAGAGTGATTTCATTCAGTATTGTAAAATTTAGTTGTGTTTTTAATATCATTGGAGCTGGGTTTCACATATGCCTTGGTTTTCCAGTACTCTGGTAGATCCCCAGATGCTTGTCTTCTGTGACAACTGTCTCTGATGAATTCAGTAGAACTTGAACTGTGAAATGGATTTCCATCTCAGATAATATCTTCTGTAGAATCAAGCTTGTGTTAAACTGCTTGAGAGACGTGTGTCAAGCCATGTTTGCTAAGCCATGTAACAGGTGGTAACAGATTTCAGTGAACTTCCTGTAGCAGGTGGAGGGAATCTTTTGTTCTAGGTTGAGGGCTACATTGGCTTAAGGAAGCAGTGATGACAATTGAAGGACAAGTATTTGTTGATATGTACTTTTCTCCTTTTCTATTTTTTTTTCCTTTAATTTGGACCCTGTAAGCAGCAACACATTCAAGAACTCTGACTTCCCACTGCGGTCGATTTGGCAGTAGCAATTTTTGTAGTGTTATGATGCAATTGTTTGGCAATCCTATGCTACTAACAAGCACTGCTACATTTAAAAAAAATGGATATTTTTATTCAGACTATAAACCTGCTCCATTTTAGATACCTACATACAGAACAATTGGTTGTGCTTCATCTAATTTCTTATTCTTTTTGCATACAAGAGCATCTGTCATGTCTTTGTTAGTAACAGTCTCTTGCAGTGGAGCAGGGTTTTGTTATATTATTGGTGTGGGAATACAGCAAAAAGTAGATAGTTTCAGAAGCAACTGCTTTTATGAATAAGGTTATAATTTATTATTGCGTGTGTTAACATCAAATTGCATTCTCCTCCAGATTCATTTGGTGCATGTATCATGAAAAGAACACTCTTTGAAGCCTACAGGGTTTGGGTTTTGTTAGTTTTTATGTTACGTAATCTTCATTTCACAACAGCAATTCTCACAGACTAGGAATACAAATCCTATATTGTATTAAAACGGACAGCTGTGTCTTCAGTGCAGTCCCAAGTTTGTGGAAGCAGCATAGGCCTTTGTGCTTTAAGGAAAGGGTAAAGAAACAGGACTCATCACTGAAAATGCCATTAGTTGCCTGATCCAGTGTGTCTTTCTGGTCATTCCCTGAGAAGAAACTACCTCTGCTTTGCTGATTATGCAATATTATATTTGGGGAACGGAGGGAAAGAGAATGAAAAGGTACCCTTGTAGATGTGTTTACAACTTGAGTATTTACCTGAATGACTCTCTTGTCCTTATTCAGTGATCTATGAGTTCCTCTTATTAGGATCATTGAATCTTTCACAATGTTTCTGCTTCTGCATAAAAAGTGTTACATGTAGTGTGTTTGTTCAATAATGCCTTCATGAAGAAAGTCAGGGAAATGACCTTTAAAGAGCAAAGTTAGGTATTAGTTTAATACTGGAGAAGGGTATTAAAAGGTTAAAAAACAAATTAGTAAAACATTTCTGTCATTTCTTTATAGATTCTGGACAACCAGGAAGTCCAAGCCACAATGATCCTGCCAAGAATCCACCAGGTAAATATAAGTTCCAGAACATGTGCATCTTACATTGTTTGAGAACAAAGATACTACTGTTAAGAGTAGAGTTAAGAGAGCATAATTGGTCAGCAACTTATTTTGCACTGGTAAGTACATGTAATCAGGACAAGCTGTGATTATTTTAGTTCTTTTAAACTGGCAATGCCTCAACTGTAGTTTCATCAACATTCATTTAATATAAGGAAATTTTCTTTCAGTTAATGGTTTTTAGAATTTTGTAAGTGAGAATAGGCAGAGGATCCCAAATAACTCTACTTTTAGAAAAGTCTTCAAATGCTACAATTATTCTTTTATCTCAGACAAAACACAATTGACCTACCTCTAAAGTCACTGAACTGAGCTACCAGCTTCTTTATTTTTATTTTATACATGCATTATAAAATGCAAATATGTTCATTTTTTATATTTTTAATATCAACTCAGACCAGTTTTTGAACGTGTTGTTAATGGGTCATGCTAGTGACATTTGGAATTTTTTGTTTGAGAGATGTCAGTGTCCTTTCAAGGATTCTCTAAAAATAAAAATTCAAGAGAAAATAAAACCCAGACTTTGCCATTCCACACTGTTTTGACCAAAGGTTATTTGTATTTTCATGGAGTTATCCTTCTAATCAATTGGGCTGTGCTAGTAAGTGTTTTAAATCTTTTTTGTTTTATGAATTTTATTGGGGTAAGACAAACAAGTGTGACAGACATACTGTCACTTCTTAATGAGCATGGGGTGATGCCTGCCACCACTGTCATGCTGTATCTTCTCATTTTGGCTCTCAGAAGAAATGTCTATCTGAAATAAGCTGCAACTAACTCAGTTTGCTCTTTTTCTAAATGCAAAATGAACCACAGTCCAACCAAGAAGTAATTGTGTGATGCTGGGCTGTTACATATATGTGAATATTTTCTGGATCTGTCCAAATACCAGGGAAAACAGCCCGCATTCTGACTGTACAGTTTTGTACTATGCATATGATCAAAGTATTCTCTACCTGTGGTGGAATATGTCATGTGTGTTTCATGTGAGTACTGAAAAGTGGGAGAGCCATCATAGATCATTATACAAAAAAACATATTCCTGTAATATAAAACCACGAAACATGCACTGGAAGATGGCAGGTAATTTTTGGAGATTTGAGGGCAGAACAAGTAAAATAACATGCTAATCTCTTCTTCAAGTGATTTTTTTTTTTTTTTTTTTTTTTTTTTTTTTGCAAGGGATGATGCAAGCTTGAAATCACTTTTGGCTGGAGACTTCGATGCTGTTTCTCTCCAAACTGTGTGGGATGTTATGAGCAGGCTTTTATTTCTCTATTAAATACATGACATATATTATGTAGGATGGTGGTTTAAAAACCCAAACCAGCAAATTTACACCTAAAATAAGCCTGAAAAATTTCCTCACAGATAATCACAGTTTTGTAAAACTTGAAGCATTTAGCTGTAGGGCATTTATTTTTGTTTCAGAATGTCTGTTTGTGAGTGCAAGAAAATCCAAATGCATTAGCCCTCATCATTTTGAAGGATCCTTTGTAGCCTCTGGGTTTGGGAAGCTGAAGGCAGGGTCTGGAAGCTTACCTTCAGCATTTTAAAATTCTGTTTTTAAAGTACCATTTAGCATTTGGAGTAGAAAGGCAGATGTTCATATTTCACTGGTGAGGATCACATCCTCTAGTGAGTCCAGGCTCACCAACCCTCAGTCTCAACCCCAGGCTACTCCAGCAAGGAGTAATCTTGGAGGGCAGCAGATAACTGTATAGACTTTCCGTTGGCAGCCCTGTGTGGCAAGACCAGATGCCCCAATGTTTGACAAACTCCAGTGTCCCAGCATGTAGAGGGAGAGAGAGGGCAGAGAAATCTGTTGCTGGTTTCATCATGAAACTTTCTGCTTGAAATTTGAGCATAACCCTTTCTCATGCTTTGGAGTCACTGCTGGCAGTATTATTCCTTTATCTGCTGCCAAGTGGGGACAGAAAATGGAAGCTGTGCCTTGCTTCTCTTGAAACCCTTCATTTAAGCAGAGACAGAGGCATAACTGAATATCATCTGTCTATCTGAGGATACATGAACTTCTAGCATCATTCAGCTTCCCTGTGTGATACTGTCTTGGGGTTAAACTGGCAGGGAGAAAGTGTTGAGGTTTGTGAGACTCCCAGGACTTCTGAGGCTGTGCAGGAGAATTTGAGGGAGTTGCACTATGTTCAGCTTGTCTGGGGAAAGGACTGCTGTCCTGTTCTTTCTTATTAAACTTCACATGAGTCTTATTAGAACCAGGCAGTCACTTTTGTCAGAGCCCCAGAGGATATCCACTCTGAGGTTTGTTTTTGGTCTCAGGCCAGGAGCACGCGGAATGGCAGTGCCAGGAGGGTTTGTTCTTCTATCATGTTTTGGTCTGATGCCTGTATGTCAGGGAGCCAGGGATAGGTGCTGTTAGCTTTTGGATGCCACTACCTTCACAAAGACATTGCCAAGGAAGAGGAGGTTGGAAACTGAGTGGTAGTTGGCGAGCTTGCTGGTGTTAAAAGTGGGTTTTTCTAGGTTTGGCTAGACTGTTGCATTCTTTAGGGTGTCTGGTAATTTGCTGTCCTAACCATGGAGGGAGGGTAATGTCACTTGCCAAACAAAAGAACATTAAGAGCACTTGCTGGAATTCTTTACAATGCGTTCCTAAAAATACACTGAATCCTTTGATAGCATAATACAGTATTAAGATGATGTAGCTTGTGGTGAAAGAGGTATGTAGCTTTTTTAGCAAGATCCAGCGATATCCTCCTCTAAGTTTTATTTTTCAATAACTTTCATCTGGTATATTTCTAAAGAATGAAACTTGCTTTTCTGAGAGCTGGGTTGTAAAGGTCACTTCTCCGCAGGGATTGTTAAGTAGGTTCAAGACAGATAGATGAGCTGAGCTGAACTGAGCTAAACTGAGAGAAGAGTTTGAACACTGCTGTTGTCTGCATCAGTCATTAAGTTCCTGGAATCTAAAAGTTTATGTTAGGCTAGCATGGTGCTAACTATTAAACGTTTACATGGTTTCAAAGAGAAAATGGACTTGTCCACGGATGCATCGAGGGTGACTAAACAGATAGAGGCACACCTAGATTAATAAGTTTTAAAACTGAAAATACTTAGAGCCTTGGACACTATCAGTCAAAAAACCCCCAAACCCCAAGTCCTTTAGGCCTGCCCTGCTTCTTACTATTCTACTGGGCATCTGCTGAACAGAGGCTGTTGAAGGACACCTAATGTGGCAGTTCAGTGTAATGCTGTATTATTTGCTCCCTGCGAGTGCCATAGGTCTTTTATATAGCTTAAGAAAATCTAAAAAATGAGCCTTTCTTAACTTGTGTGTCTTGAAATACCTGTAAAGGTGTGGGAGGATATGTACTGACGACAGAGGGAGTGATCTGTCAGTAAGTTCATCTGTTAGGCATAAGAACATTATGAGGGTGAGTAAAAAGAGAAAAACACCTAGAACTACTAGTAAGGTAATGATATTGACACCAGCTATAACAATTTGGTCTCCAGTGATACAATCCTTACTAGGCAGTTCTTCTAGTAGAGGATTTTCTGTGTTTTGTTCTGCTTTATTTTTCTTTCCCTTACTTACTGCCTGCTGGCCACGAATATTTGACATTAATAAGGTTACTTGCTACCTGCCATTGGTGTGAAGTTGCTGCTTGGCAGAATTCATTTATTTATACACCAGTGTTAACACTGCTGTGTCCAGTTGTTGTCATGTTGCTCAAATCTTTGAACATAGCCTTTTTAAGCTGCTAAAATAAGAGAAAGAAATAGCAATACTGATAGAGTAAAATGTTATCTTGATATGACAATAAGATAGGATAGACAGCTGAATACAATTTGAGGAACCAAGAGAACTGGAAACCTGAAAGAGTGGATACCAGCTTCTACTGGTTCTTCACATGTTTTCTTCTGGATGGAGCTGGGAGGAGAATAGTCTCTTCTTCTACAGGTCCCTTCAAAATTTCACAGCAATTCTTGTCCAGCATTGGGGAATACAAAAGATAATTTTTCAAAAGGTACAAAGGAAACCTAACCATCCTGACACAGACAGTTATGAACCTCATTGGTGAGGGAGGACAAGTATGTTCAGATTTTTGCTTTTATCCAAGCAGTTGACTTCAGAGGTTATTAGAGCTATGTTTCCTAGCAAGTGGCTCCTGCTAGTCTTTTTTTTCCTGATAGAATTTACTCCACTTCAGCTGGTCCAAGGAATGTTTTCATATAAATTTTGCAACCTCTATAACATCAGTCAGAGCTGAATGAGGAATGCAGATGACTCAGGTTTGAGCCTGTGCGCTGATGAATATTACATTATTTATACAGGTAACACACTTTTAGACAGAGATATTGAGAAACTGTCTCTCCGCCTTTCATTCCTCCCCACTGTTTCCCTTCTTTCCTCCACAGTAACACATGATATATTGTCAGGGAATTCATCTAGTGATAAGATCCTTAATCTGAATGAGGCATAGGTATGTGAATCCTCAGCCCCAGCCTCACTGCTCTGGAATTGGTTTTCCCCTTCTATTTTCACCAGAAATTTTATTCTGGGAACAATTTCCAAAGAAGACCTGAGTGAAATCACCATCTATTCATTTTTTTCTTTTTCCTAATTAAAGAAGATGTTGCCAAAAAGCTTGCAACCAGCCTCACCTGTCTCTCAATATGCAAATCTCTCTTGCAGCTGTAGAGCCCTAAGGGCATTTTTGTGCTTTCATATGGGCTAGCAGCCATAGGGAGAACATTCTTTTTGGATCAAGCCCTAAGAAATGTGTAATAAAGTTGCCTGTATATGACTGTTTTAGATAGAAGTATTTCAGTTTTAAGTTTTAGAATGTATAGTCTCAGAAATAACCTCTGAAGACTAACATGGTCTCAACCTTTGCTCTCTTTTGGAAATGCAATAAGCAAATGTGTTTGAGTCTTGAATGACTCAGAACACAGATGGTTTCATTATT